GCCACGCTCTCTCCTGGTATAACTTTGCAATCCTTACAAGTTATACGATCCCCTTTCCTCATTAGAAGAAAATCTATTTGTGTTTTTGACGACCCACTCTTGTAGGTGATCACATGTTCTTCTCTCTTCTTAAAAGAAGGTGTTGGCTAAGAAGAGATCATATGCCATTGCAAAATCCAAGATAGCTTCCCCATCCTCGTTTCTCTCCCCAAAACCATGGCCACCATGAAAACCTCCATAGTTGCATGTCTCCCTGCCCACGTGTCCATTTAAATCTCCTCCTATAAATAAACTTCTCCGTCTGAGCAATTCCTTGCACCAAGTCTCCAAGGTCTTCCCAAAATTTCTCCTTCGAACTCGTATCCAACCCTACTTGAGGTGCGTACGCACTAATCACATTGATAAGTTCTTGTCCTATTACAATCTTGATTGCCATGATTCTATCTCCTACCCTCTTGACATCTACAACATCTTGTGTCAAGGTCTTGTCCACGATGATGCCAACACCGTTTCTCGTTCTATTTGTGCCCGAATACCATAGTTTAAACCCTGAGTTTTCTAGATCATTTGCCTTACTACCAACCCACTTAGTTTCTTGTAGGCACATAATATTTATCCTTCTCCTCACCATAACTTCTACTACTTCCATAGATTTTCCCGTCAAGGTTCCTATATTCCACGTTCCTAAACGCATTTTGCTCTCTTGAACTCTACCCTTCTGTCCTAGCTTCTTCACCCTTCCCCGTCTAATAGGATCAAAGTACTTCTTTTGTGTGTCCCGTGTAAAGTTGATAGGAGCATATGCTCCCAAACAACTTTGAGTGGAGTCGTTCGAAAAGAAGTTTCTATAGCCCCCTTGCTCATTTAACACTGCATCCGGGTGCCGATGGAGATACAGCGACCCTTGCTCACTTATCACTGTGCTCAGGCCACACAGCGCGCCACTTACGGGTGACGCCCTAGCTTTAGCGCGATTTCGTTCTGGATTCATTTTCATAAGGATTCGACGTGATCATGGAATGCCGGCTGTCGACTACCTGACGCCCTCCCCCTCATCCTTTATCCGGGCTTGGGACCGGCAATGTAAGATAAACTTACACGGCGGAGAAAAACAACAACAAAAGTGACATACGGAAATTTAAAAAAAAATCATCATATAACTAGAAATTCAAGGAGCTGTCTCCAATGCAATCATCATGAAATCAATCACAATGAAACAACTTGAAGTTACAATAACGAAAAAGCTAAAATATAAACTAAAACAAAGTCCAACTATCATTCCGTATCCTCTACAGACTGTCAAACTGGGAGGTAATAAGTATCGAGCTGCCAATACTTTTGTTTGACACCTTCCCAAACTTGTTCTCCTAAACAATCCTTAACAGGCAATGGAATGAACTGTGTAGAATAACCCAAATTCTGAAGCTCTAGTGAAACCAAGTGACAGCAAACGACATGGAAGAACGCATTACCTCCGCAAGGGCCATTGAAGAACGAATAGATCCCGCTTGGCTTCAATAACTTGGGAAGATGCTGGTGGAACTCTCTCAAGTCTTCCTAGTACTCTCCGTAGGTGTCAAAGAAAATCCCTGCACAAATGAACCCAACAGTTCATAAATTCACACAAATTGAAGCTTAAATAGCCAATTGAATTAGCTCATTTCTTCTTCAGCCACCATCATAAGATTTAAGCTGAGGTAGCACATCCTGCCATCGACCGAATATTATGTTCACATTATCCTTCTGCGCCCAACCGGTTTGAATCATACGCTGATGAACCTCCGGGTGAGCCTCAACGATGGTTTGGTATGCGAAGCCGGGGAGTATTTCTGAGTGGCTGTATCCACAAGCCCCATTCCGAATCCAATATTCAACACATGGCCACCTCCGGAACAAACCGCTTTCGCGTGTGCCTCCATTAACGGATGCTCCCAGGCCATCATCACCGCCTTACAATTCGAGTCCATCAGCTTATCCTCACTAAAGCTAACTCTGTCTTCCAAATAATCGCCATCGCTATCCTCGTCCTTCTTCTCCCTCCTCGCAATCGTTCCGAGTACCAATTCAGCTTGAATGCCTAATATTCAACTCACATTAGACTTGTAAACGGGTCGTTTACTGGGTTTGCGCGCCTTCACCCAAATGCTCTCACTGTACAGTGTTGGTCAAAACCCTGGTCAATGTTCATAAGGCAGCATTTGTGCCTTTCTCATCCAACAAAATTTGAACTTCCAATTTTAACCCTCAAAACTTCAAAATGAGAGATTTTTAAGTATGCTCGGAACACAGAACAATGGACCACATATAATTACACAAGTGATTAAACAAAAAAAATTTCAAGTGTCCCACAATTTGTATAATTAATTGTGGTGTACCGAACCATCTTTTAAACATATTGAAAAATCTAGAGTAAATTACATAGTAGCCCCTCAGGTTTGAGGTCAATTACAACCCCATACAACAACTTTAAAACATTTCACTTTCATACATCCAGTACCATTTTATTTCAAAATAACACATACGTTAGATTTTCCATCCACTAGTCTGTTAAATGCTGACGTGGTTGCCACATTTGTGCTAATGTGGCTGCCACGTGGTAAAAAAAATAATTTTTTATTAATTAAAAATATTATAATATAACCCTATTAAAAAAATTTTTAAAAAAAAAAAAAAAAAACCCTCAACCTTCTTCTTCCCCGCTCCCATATTCCCCCAACCTATACCCCACCGAAACCCCATCTCCTTCATCTTCCCAATCCGTCCTCCCTCCCTATAACCCAAATCCAAAACCACTCCCACCCATCCTCCACCTCCTTCGCGCACCCATCTTCCCATCTCCCCCACCCCCACCCAAGCCCAACCTGCAACCCAGAAAGAAAAAAGAGAGAAAATAAAAAACCCCACATCTTCATCTTCCCTGCAACGCACCCCCTTTCTCCTCCTTCTCGTCTTCCCCAAACCCACCGTGCACCCATCCTCCACCTCCTCCTCCGCACCCAGTATCTGCAACCCAGAAAAGAAAAGGTGAAAAAAAAACCCATCTCGTCGGAGAGGGGGATTTAACGAGAGTGGGTCGTCGGGGGGGGGGGGGGGTTGGGATTTGACGGGAGTGGGTCGTCGGGGGAAGGGGGATTTAACGGGAGTGGGTCGTCGGGGGGGGTTGGGATTTGACGGGAGTGGGGTCGTCGGGGGAAGGGGGATTTAACGGAAGTGGGTCATCGGGGGAAGGAGGATTTAACGGGAGTGGGTCGTCGGGGGGTGAGGGTGGGATTTGAAGGGAGTGGGTCGTCGGGGGAAGGGGGATTTAACGGGAGTGGGTCGTCGGGGAGGGGGTGGGATTTGACGGGAGTGGGTCGTCGGGGGAAGGGGGATTTGACGGGAATGGTTCGTTGGGGGGTGGGGGGGGGAGGAGGTTGCTGCGCTGGGTTTCTGGGGAGATTAATGGGGAGGTGGGTTTGGGATTAATTGGTTTCTGGTTTTGGGGGTTGCGGGTAAAACTTTCAGGTTATTTATTTATTATATTTAAAAGATTAGATTTAAAAAAAAAAATTAAAAAATTATTTTTTGTCACGTGGCAGCCACGTCAGCATTTAACAGACTAATGGATGAAAAATCTAACGGAGGTGTTATTTTGAAATAAAATGGTACTGGATGTATGAAAGTGAAATGTTTTAAAGTTGTTGTATGTGATTGTAATTGACCTCAAACCTGAGGGGCTACTATGTAATTTACTAAAAAATCTATCATTCAAAAAGACTATTGGCTAAAAATAGATAAAAAAAATTTAAATATCAATATTCAAGTGGGCACTCCACTTATCATAAATAAATAAAGAAACAAAAAAAAAAAAAAAAAAAATTCGTCTCTTATTTAATTCAGCAGTTGGAAGCTACAATTGGAAACTACAATTTTGCTGGGTAGAGAGAGCATCAATGGGGGTGGAAAACAAGTGGACCGTTAATAAATGTTTGGTGAAAATATAAGCATACTCTAAATGTAGAAGAAGAAGAAGCTACAAAGGCGGGCAGCAAACACTACACATTACAAACAACATTCCCTCCAACGAAAGATCAAAAATAAGATATGGATGTTCTTCAAACCAAGTACAATTATGGCCAAAATGAAGAGCACAGTAAGCTAGGCGGCAGGCAACCTCATTTACTTGACAATGCACGTGGGTACAAGGCGGAGCAGATGTTTCATACTTTAACTGTGAAGGTTTCGTTATGTTGAAGCGCATGACAAGTTGACACACGCTAATACCATTAAGTTCTATTTTAGAAATGCCACCCTGATTATTTTGTTCATCTATTATGTTTGGTTTATTCAATAAAAAATCATAAATAAACAAAAGTGTGCATTAAGAGAAAATTAATATACGAAAATCACTTCTCATCTATTTACACTGACATTAAGTTTGTAGTATACAAATTCAACTCACATTCAATTAGACATTAGGCTTAAGCGAAGCAATTTGTACAACTAGTAAAACAAAAACAACGTTAAGACTAATCACCTATATAGCATGTAAAGTATCGTATACATTGATACGTGTAAAATTCACAATGCATTAATAGTCATAAATTAGAACCAACCTACTCAAACACGGACAACTCATTGTTGTTTTTTAAGTAGAAAAGAATGAATTCAATTCAAGTCCTTATAAAATCATTCTTCAATAGAAAAATGGGCAAGGAAAACGATTTGAGAGAAAAAGGAAATAGTCAATAAAATTGTCAAACTATAGAAGTAGGAATCATAAACGCCAAGGCAGTCGTCGATGGAACACAATCCACGGACGCGGTGGCGCATCACCATCGCCATCCAATCGACCAATTTTGACCCCTCTCCAAAACTCTGCTGAACTGCATCAAACGACATCGTCCTGGGATTTCTAGAAACTCCAATTATTCGCGGAGTTTCCCATAAACCCGCGACAGTCCTCAGCATTTTATAAAAAATACAAAAAATCGTTGTTTATATATTCGCACCTTCTTATTTAACGCCTCTCTCTCTCTCTCTCTCTCTCTCTCTCTTCCCCAACCCAAATCTTGTCACCTGCAAATCCAAATTGCATCGCTGAAATAACGGAATCTCTCCTTACCCAATTTGTCCTTTTACCCTCTTTGTCTATTTCTCATTTCTATATGCTTCCACTGTCAATTTTGCACTCGAATTCGTTTCTTATTTAATCATTGATCGAGCTAGGGTTCATTTGTATTGTTTGAATAACACAAATTTGGCTGGTAATTTGTTTGTAAATTTGGGGTGATTAACTAATGACGTCAGGTTTTGATCGGTGGGAGAAAGATCCATTTTTCCCGGCGGCCGAGGAAGTTCAAGATTCCGCCGACAGGTAGCATTTCTCATTGTTCGGCTCTGTTACTCCTTGGGCTCCAATTTTACATTTGTCCATCAATTTGTACTTTTTTCCAAATAAAGTTTCAATGTTTCTACGTTTATTGCAATTTTGAATTGCATCTGTAATTTGATAGCTTCCAGCTCATTTGAATCAAATCCCATCTTTGGGCAACGTTCAGCAGATTTTTTTTCGTTTTGGTCCCAATTAATTAGAATTCATGAATTACGATTTAATGTTCTATTGTTTTCCTCCACATTTCGTCAACATTTACAATTTGTTCCTAAACCCATTGAGTAATCGTGTTTATCCGGATGTGTTTGCTTTTAAAACCCGAATTGGGGAATTGGGGTTTTTGTCTGCTCTTGTTCTTCAAATGCAATGTGCATTGAATGCTGAGGATGATAAGTTTTTGTTGTAAATGGTATGTTAATTTGTTTTTTATGTGGTTCTGAAGGATGGAATCTACACATCGAACATGGATCCACGCCAGGAAAGACGCTTCCAGTATGTGGGATCCCGAGGAACTTGGCAGGGATCTTCGTACAACTCTTGGAACTACCAAATGGCAGGTCCTCTTCTTTCTATGCCCCCTCAGCTATGGCTGTTGCCCTTTAGGCTACATTATGAATTGGTATTACGCCCGTATCAGTGTAGTGAATAATTGTTTGAAATTTTGGTGGCAATGCAGTTGGAGGAGTTTGTACGAGCAGTCAGGTCAAGTTATGCGAGAAGGTCATGTGAAGACGCAAGAGACAGGCACCATCAATTCATTGTTGCCATCGAGGAGCAGGTTTCCAAAATTGAAAAATCGTTAAAGGAGGCTGCCCTTTCTGAGGGCAAGGCTACTCAACCTTGGGTGCGTTTGGATGAAGGGGAGTGCAATGAACTAGCGTTTTTTCTTTCTGGGCCATCTGCATCTGAAGAGAAAGTTATTGCCAAGGGTAACGACAGGGATTCTGAAAACCCACGAGTGACAGATGGAGATACGGCACCAGGTAGTTCGAAGAACTCATGTGGTTCAAACGAGCGGGGCTCCCAGAAGACTAGGGAGGAGAAACCACATGGGCATAGGAGGACAGCTAGCGCTAGTGCTGACATTGGTGCCTTGAAGATTGCAGTTTTCGACGATGGATACGTACCAAGTTCTTCTGCTATGATGGTTGAGCATCCTGTACGAAAGATTCCAAGTATGTCTGGGTTTCTCAGTTCCATGGAAACCGCATCAAAGTTGAAGTGGTCAAAGAATGGTTTTAGGAAGTGGAAGGCAGTGGACCGTCATGAAGACGCTGATGCTGCATTGTTGCCATCTACTCAGTTGACCAGGGTATGTATGCTTTACTCCTTTGATTTAATTTACTACGAGACCTTACATCCTTGGCATTGTGTTACTAATGATTAAAATTCTTGTTTTCCGTTTAGGGCGTCAATGCTTGCTTTGAAAAAAATAAGAGTTGTTTGGATAGTTGCGATGAATGTTACGATAAACCATTGTATGGCTGGTACGGAGCTATTCAAAGACAACTTCAAAGGTCTCAGTACCACATGCAATATAGTTGGCCTGCCCGCATAGCTCTTTGGATTGTTATTCTCCTTTTCTTGATTGGTAAGCTTCACAAAACCCTGCCAATGTTGAGATGCAGTTTGGACATGAATGTTGTCCGAATAGCTTTTATGCGTTGCTTATCCAGCTAAATGTTTGTATTCATGAGTTTGGCATTTTCGTTCTTTGCAGTTTTAATTGCATTGCGTGCGATCTGAGCTGTGGTAGATCACGACAGCGCAAGGAGAAATCTGTCAATCGATGGACATAGAAGTAGGAATATTGTGTTCAAATGAATACTTTATTTTCACACATTGTTGAAGTGCCAAGCGGAGAGCACAACCCTAGAGAACCTTGAAAGGATTCCACTTTTGTTTTTCTGTTTTCCTCCTCCAATTTTGATACCTTTGAAGGAGGGAAAACTCTCTTGTATTATACTACAAGCAATATCAGAGAAAGTCGTAAGCCGAAAGATATTCGCAATGTGCTACTGCATCTTGTAATATAATTTGTTCGTCTTACTTTCGATATGACCAACACACACTTGTCCAAGGTAGAAGCAGCGTTCATTTGGAATCGAGAGAAAGATATTCTAGAAACTCAATTGAAGTATTGCATACATCAAACAATCCTCCCCTTTTTCTCTACATTGGCACCCTAAGTCGTCGCTGGCTTGCGTGGCGACGTTAGTTGGGTCTGCAGTAATGAGTTCAGACACGAAAATGATGAGGAAATGGCGTGATGAAGAGCCATAGCGAGGCACGAATGTCCTGGTTGCTTTTCTGTACAGCATCATCATGTTCCTTCTTGCCGAAGTCTATGCCCTGGCATGTGACCCCAGATGAATGATACTGACTACGAAAGGCAGTGCCATCAGCTGCTCAATTTATGATCATCCAACTATTAGCATGCTTCTGAGGTTTGTGAACAGGGTTAACCGTCTTCAATCGGGAGATTGACACCGTTGAAATTTCTTACTCTGTCTGGAAAGCGGAGAAGAACCACCTACTATTCCTTTCAGTTAAATTGCCCTCCCTCCAAGAAAAAGGGATTCCATTGACATCGCGTCAGTCTTGAACAAATGTTCACCCAACTACATATGACAGTGAAGAAGCAAGTAGAGGATGAACCAAATGAAATCATCTGCTTACTGTCCCTTCACGAGTCGCTACAAAATTTCATTTTCTTAAAGATAGGACAGAGACACCGTTAAAAGACCACAAAAACACAAGATTCACGAAGATGATAAGGTGATCAGAACACCACCACCTCCTCCTCATCCATACTTCAACCATTGAGAATTGGTCCTTTCAGGAGTCACAATACGCGAACTACACACTTCGAAAGTCTTTTCTTATTTTCTCAAGCACCGCAATTATATTCACTTTTGACACCATTTGCCTAATGGCTGCACAATATGCATCTAGATGCGTATGTTGTAAACTTGTAACAATTTATAGAAATGCCCAACTAATACAAAACTATGCTGCTACGAAAATAAGCACAAAAAACTGTTTCAATTCTTCTAATTCACAGTCCGATTCAAATTGTTATAAAGATTAAACATTTTCACGAAAATGAATTAGAAAATGCAATCAAGATCAACAGGGAGAAGGAACCAACCTCCGAAACCCCATCCAACGCCGAAACCGCAGCCAGCACCAAATCCTGAAGAAAACGAACTGAATTGGTCACGACCTCATCGCACATAAGGATTACAACCCAATAAGCTTCCTGAAATCGTACCGAATCCGACTCCAGCTCCATTGAAGTTGGTAAGCACCATCGCTGTTTGCAGGTCGGAACTAGCGATCAAGATTCAGTGTAAATTTAAGTGAATAATAATCAAATTAATCGGGAATTTGAGTGGCCGAAGTTCATAAGAAATCAAGGAGGGAAATACCTACGAGGCTCCAATAATGGCGACCGGGTCCAGTCGGCCTCAAATGAAGCCCTGCACGGAATGGCTGTACCCCTTGCAGGCTTGGGCCAGCCCATGCATTCCTTTCAATAGAACTTCGTAATTTGCTTTTCCCGCCAATAGGCAAAGAAATATTTGAAATTATTACAACTTTTATATAGAAGGATATTGGGTCGTGCTTATTTCCTCAATTGTGAAAGTCGTTGTCGTACTTATTTCATCAAATGTGAAAGTCCAATCGACGAATCTTTTTACTTTTCATTTATAGTAGAGAATAATATTATTAAAATACAGCAATCTAGGTAGAAAATATTATAATTTTTATATACGTCATTCATAAGAAGTACGGGCATGAAGTAGGGGTCCGTACCCCCACAAAGGAGTCGATTGAACATCTTGGGCATTGGCGGGAATTTTGCCTGCTACAAGCTTTTTTGCAGAAGACCAAGATGCGCCACATGCCAGATCATAAACGCATGATTTTGACCAGCTCGATAAGGCATCACGTTAGTTTTCAAGGCCCCGCGTCCCTCAAAATGTTGAGAGGCTTCGTTACTCACCTTTTATGTAAGGAGAATATAGGGGAGGAAAGAGAATATAAGTTCGTTTACTGCATCTCAGTCAGCATATAAGTTAGGAACTTATGATTACTATTATTGATTGCATGATTATACAATTCTATTTTAAATCTTCATTAGCATAAGGTGTTGTTTAATAACACATATAAGGAAATATGTTGAGCCCTTACATGACGGCATGTGTTTAAACTCCGTCGATGACTATCTAACATTTAATCTAACAAAATCTATCGTTTGACAAAAAACACCAAAATAGTCTCGTTATGTGCTTCACCGGCCAGACCGTCAGCCTCATATAAGGGCCAATGTTGCAACGATTTGTAATTTTGGAGATGCAGTTTGCTAATATATAGACTCGAGGGACCAATTTTCATACATCAAAACTCGAGAGCGCAGATTTGAATTACCCTAAACTAGGTTTTGATATAATTGGGAGTGGGCTTGGAGCTGGGCCTTAATCTCATCAGAACAAAAGAAGATAAAGTCTCCACGGAAGTGTTAATACATGGCACAATTAATCATCCGGTGCATAAAGACAATTCCAACCGCAATTCTCTGTGAGTATATGGCGCAGAGATGTTGTAAATCGAAGACTCCAGGTTAGGAATCCGATCAAAGAATTTGTGGAAGTAATTTACAATTTCTCAGAGAAATCCAAATCCAAGATCATGAGCTGGTGGTGGGCCGGAGCTGTAGGCGCTGCTAAGGCAATCACAACCACAACTCCTCCTGCATCGATCCCTTCCAAATTTTTATTTATTTATTCCTAAATACCGTTTTTTATTCCGATTTTTGCAGAAAAAATTCGATGAAGAGGAACCGCCGCGAAGTCCCCAGAGCGTGGGTCTCGTGATCGGTGTCACCGGCATAGTCGGCAACAGCCTCGCCGAGATCCTCCCCCTCTCCGACACACCTGGCGGCCCATGGAAGGTATACGGCGTCGCGCGCCGTCCCCGCCCCAACTGGAACGCCGACCACCCTGTCGAGTACATCCAATGCGACATCTCCGATCCCGACGATGCCAAAACCAAGCTCTCTCCGTTAACCGACGTAACGCACATCTTCTACGTCACATGGACCAACCGATCCACCGAGGCAGAGAACTGCGAGGCTAACGCCGTTATGCTGCGCAACGTTCTGAATTCCGTTATACCGAACGCGCCGAAGCTCCAGCACGTGTGCCTCCAGACCGGGGCCAAACACTACGTCGGGCCGTTCGAGTTGTTCGGCAAGATTCAACCGCACGAACCACCGTTTACGGAGGATCTGCCCCGATTGGATGCCCCGAATTTCTACTACACCCTTGAGGACTTACTGTTTGCGGAGGCGGCGAAGAAGGAGAACTTGACTTGGTCGGTGCACCGACCCGATGCGATATTCGGGTTTTCCCCTTACAGCATGATGAACATCATTGGCACGCTGTGCGTGTACGCCGCGATATGCAAGCACGAGGGGAGGCCACTGAAGTTTCCGGGAAGCAAAGCGGCGTGGAACTGTTACTCGGTGGCGTCGGATGCGGATCTGATAGCAGAGCAGCACATATGGGCGGCGGTGGACCCGTATGCGAAAAATGAAGCGTTTAATATCAACAACGGGGATGTGTTCAAGTGGAAGCATTTCTGGAAGGTGCTGGCGGAGCAGTTTGGGATAGAGGAGTACGGGATTGATGAGGGAGGCCGGAGGCTGAGCTTGGTGGAGCTGATGAAGGGGAAGGAGAAGGTGTGGGAGGAGATAGTGAGGGAGAACGAGCTGCAGCCGACGAAGCTGGCGGAGGTGGGAGTGTGGTGGTTTGTGGATGTTTGGTTGAGCGGAGAAGGGTTGTTGTGCAGCATGAACAAGAGTAAGGAGCATGGGTTTTTGGGGTTTAATTCCAGGAATTCGTTTGTTACTTGGATTGATAAGATGAAGGCTTTCCAGATTGTGCCGTGATCGACTGATGACTGTTTTGAAATAATTTTGTCCTCAATGTGTTGATGGTGGTGTTTGGGTTATGGAGAGATTTTGTTGTGGTTTTTCTTGCCCTTGTTCTACTTGAAATTCACAATAAATTATACAAAGTTACTTTGTTGAATGTGCTATCGAGCTTCATCATCTTTTTCTCCTCAAGTTTTTTTAGATGGTTTTCTAGCCTTTGGATTGCATAAATTAAGCTACACGTATATTTTTTGATTCAATCAGATTCATTAGTTAGTAGAGCTATTCACTTGATCGTAGACATTTCTGAAACATGCTAGAAGGACAACAGTAAAAAGGAACCAAAAAAAAAAAAAAAGAATAGTGAAAATGACTACCAATTCCAAAATTTTACCCCATTTTGTTTAGACTTTTTAGTTATAATGATCACTGAGATTTGCATAATTCGTTACCTTGTTCCATGATATTTGAAATGAATAGAAATAATCCTGAGTTTGTCTATTATTAATTATTTTGATCATTCTATGAAAAATCTCTATTAAATAAAGCTAAAATGACAAAAAATACTTTCAATTTTTGTCAAATCATTTGGCCATTGTTTATTAAATTGATGATATTTTTGTTATTTTGATCCTTATTTAATATAATTTTATACGGAATGATCAAAATAATTAATGGTGAACAAGCTCAGGACCATTTCTATTGATTTCAAATTTCAAGGACCAAAGTGATGAGTTATACAAATCTTAGGGATCATTTTTAACTAAAAAGCTTTTTGTTTAAGAAATGGAATTGCTAGAGGTTTCTTTTCCGCTCTCTTTTCTCATCATTTATTATACATTTCTGAATGCTTCTAATTCTGAAGTTACCAAACACAAACGGAAGCAATCTACCATTCAAAAGCCTCATTTCTCAAAGACAAACGTAGATCTATCAATGTAGCCCAAATGGACCCAAATTCTAATCCAAATCTAACGTAATTAGTAGGAGTCGATTTTAGGTTCTTAATCAACTAATTTGATCACGATTTGAATCACATAACCCATTAGCTTAACGAACCTTGTTGACACGGAAACCATAGTGGGTCGGTCAAAGAAGGTCAAAAAAATGATTGGATTAAAGCCTAAGGTCTAACCAAGTGAAGAACCAAACGTAGGCCCAATGAGCCCAAAATCCTAGGCAGGGATCGATCACCCATGGCCCAATTGTCGCGGGAAGTTGGTTGATACGCCTCTGTGCCACCAACTTTACCACGTCGCCTACCAACAACTTGCGTGTAAAGAAGAATTTACATCAGCTTTCACGTATCGACCCATTCGACCAAGGTGATTCCTATTTTATTAACAAAGAGACATAAGACTTTGCCGAAAAAAAAACAAAAAACATAGAGACAGACGATAGGGAGGCAATGACATGCCCGCACAATTATTGATCCCGCTACGAAATTATTTTTATAAATGATATATTACGTGTTTTTATATAAATTATGTATTTTTTAAATTATTAACATTTTAGAAAATTATTATTAATATTTTAAAATTTTCATTTTACATTACTCAAAAGCGTATTTTTTTCTTCTAATTATAAAAAATTTGAAGTGCAAAATAAGATTTTTAGAGTAATAATAATAATTTCTATTTTTTTAATACATATATTATATTATTTATATAGTAACACGTATAACTCTGTAAAAAAATATCTAAAAGGAAAATTTGGACCCGCAATTTCCAGGAGGTGGTGTACTAGAGACTAACAGTTACACTCTCGGCTGGCATTCATTCCTCAGCTTTCCACTCCAAAACCATAATCCCCAATTCTTTCATCCATCCAATCTCATCGTCTTCTCTCTCACCACTCCAAATCCAAATCCATGAGCTGGTGGTGGGCCGGAGCTGTTGGCGCCGCCAAGGCAATTACAATCTCAACTACTCCGTTGATCCTTTCAATTTTTCAATTTTTGCTTAATTAACGTTTTAATTTTGATTTTTGCAGAAAAAAGCCGATGAAGACGAACAGCCGCGAGCTCCCGAGAGCGTGGGACTCGTGATCGGCGTCACCGGCATAGTCGGCAATAGCCTCGCCGAAATCCTCCCTCTCTCGGACACACCCGGCGGCCCATGGAAGGTCTATGGCGTTGCGCGCCGTCCCCGCCCGAACTGGAGCGCCGACCACCCTATCGAGTACGTCCAGTGCGACGTCTCCGATCCCGAAGATGCCAAAACCAAGCTCTCTCCGTTAACGGACGTAACGCACATCTTCTACGTCACATGGGCCAACCGATCCACCGAGGTGGAGAACTGCGAGGTTAACGGCAATATGCTGCGCAACGTTTTGGAATCCGTCATCCCGAACGCGCCCAATCTCCGCCACATCTGCCTCCAGACCGGTGGCAAACACTACCTCGGACCGTTCGAGTCGTTTGGCAAGATCCAGCCGCACGATCCGCCGTTTACGGAGGACCTGCCTCGACTGGATACCCCGAATTTCTATTACACGCAGGAGGACCTTTTGTTTGCTGAGGTGGAGAAGAAAGAGGATCTGACTTGGTCGGTGCACCGGCCCGATATGATTTTCGGGTTTTCCCCTTACAGCATGATGAATATTGTCGGCACGCTCTGCGTCTACGCCGCGATATGCAAGCACGAGGGGCTGCCGCTGAGGTTTCCGGGAAGCAAAGCGGCGTGGAATTCGTACTCGGTGGCTTCGGATGCTGATCTGATAGCGGAGCATCACATATGGGCGGCGGTGGACCCGTATGCGAAAAACGAAGCGTTTAACATCAACAACGGGGATGTGTTTAAGTGGAAGCATTTCTGGAAGGTGCTGGCGGAGCAGTTTGGGATAGAGGAGTACGGGATTGATGAGGGAGGCGGGAGGCTGAGGTTGGCGGAGCGGATGAAGGGGAAGGAGGGGGTATGGGAGGAGATAGTGAGGGAGAATGAGCTGAAGGAGACGAAGCTGGAGGAGGTGGGAGTGTGGTGGTTTGTGGATGTAGTGCTGGGTGGGGAGGGTTTGATTTCTAGCGTGAACAAGAGCAAGGAGCATGGGTTTGTGGGGTTTAGAAACTCGAGGAATTCGTTTGTTACCTGGATTGATAAGATGAAATCCTTCAAGATTGTGCCTTGATCGGTTCATGATGGCATCGGTGGATTGGTGATGTTGGTTGTTGGGTGCTGCTGGGTGCGGGGAAGTGTTTGTTTTGGGTTTATTGTTCATGTTCTATGTGTAAGTTAGCACACTCTAGTGTGTTTTAAGTATGAGAGTTTATGAATGAAATGTGCATAATATATTTACGACGGTTGTAACCCCTCTGGCGAAATTGTGTTACGATTTTATATATGACAGTTGTATGGTGAAATTATGTTACGATATTGAAGAATGAAACGTTTTTCTTTACTGAGAATGAAGACATAATTTCCATTGGGTATAATTGGTCTTAAAATGTAATGTTTTGACTCGGAGGAATAGTTTCTGGCAGATTGAGATGTTGTGCTTAAGCAACCCCGCTGCTCTAATACCAAAGCCCCATAGTCATTTACTCAACAAGAGAGTCCGATGCGTCGGCTAACAAAACGGAGAAGCAGCCCACCACTGACTATAATTCTGGACGGAGATATGTTTAACTTTTTTTGTTGGAGATGACCTAAGCGCACAACTTTAGGCCCTTGATTATACACAACTTTTTTTTAATTGTAACCATTCAAATTTTTTAATGATTACACCAAAACAGAGAAGTAGCCCACTGCTGGTTGTCTCTCGCCAGCAACCATCAGAGTAGCGACTAAATTGAAAGTGGATTTGCAAAGAGCTGAACCGATGTGGATCCGGAGTAGCCGCAAGACGGATTCCTGTAGGGTGCAATTATTGCACCGAACCATGACTAGCTTCATGGACTAAGCTAGACTGATTTAGTGAAGTGTTTGGTGTAGTGTCGGACTAAGAAGCAAGACTGTAATATTATATTATTTTATATTAATTTAATATATATCAAATTTTCCTTTCTTTTTTTTCTTTCTAAAATCATCCTTTTTTGACTTCTCCAATCCCTGTTACCTTCATTTTTACTCTGCCTCTCCATCCCCCTCCCCCTTTTTCCTCATTTTCGTCCCTCCGCCTGTCCCTCCTCTTTCCCTTTTCTCCCCATTTTTGCCCCACCATTTTTTTGTACCAGTCTCTCCATCCTCATTTTTTTTTCTTTCTCTCGTTTCACCTCTGTATACTGTCCCCTCTCCCATCGTTCTCTTTGAATTTTTTTTTCTTTTTTTTTTTAGATTTGGTACCTGTATTTTATGGAAAATCACAGTTGGTCAAGAAAAATCACTCAGAGTCATTGCACTTATGCTAAAGTTTTCAATATTGCTGTCGGCAGAAGAATATGGGTCACCATGAGACCCGTTTTTGCCGTCGTTCAGGTCGACCCAGATGGCAGAAGACCTCAAATCATTGACCCAGACGCCAAAAGGGCACTAGGTTTACGAGACGATGGAGATCTGTGATAGCCGTTTTTTGGTTTGGTTACTGGAGAAATGAGGGTTGATGCTACTCATGCGGGTTCGCGCGACGCTACTTGCAGAAGAGGGAGACGGGACTAGCAATCCTGTAGTTTTTGGGGGGCCTCACTAAGACCTCTTAGTGAAGCCTTTAGTGTAGGCGAGTCCGGGCTAGTCTCATTAAGACTAGTCCCGTATGATAACAAACACCGGACTGGACTAATAGTTAGTCCAATCTAGTCCAGTGATAGTTAGTGAAGGCAAACAAACTCTCCCTTAGTTTCTTGACACAAACACGTTATTGATGTTTTCTTGGGCCAATCATGAGTATTTAAAAACACAAGAACATTTGTTACATTATTATCCATTCATATAATTTGCAAGGAGACTCAAGTATTGTCATTACTAGAGTTTTCAAGGCGGACAAGAGGTGTGGGTAACATTCTTTGTGAGCCTAGTCTTATGGCGAAGGCGGAGGCAATACGGGCACGATTGGTGGCATGCCTGGATAAAGGGTTTGATGATGTCCAAGTGGAATTGGATTCAAAAGAACTTGTAGATATGATCAGCAGAATCACTCAACCAAACGTTGTGATTGAAGGTCTTCTATTTGATATTAAGTGTATACAAAAGCAATTGAGGTCAGTAGATTTTATTTTTGCTCTCCGAATCTGTAATCAGGCAGCACATTTAGTGGCGTCTTTTTGTCTTACGTATGGGAGGATTTTAGACATGGAATTTGTTTGAGCTAGAGTGGTTGTTCAACACTTTGACTTCTTATGTAAAAGTTTTTATTCGAATTTAATAAAATCTTTTCGACAAAAAAAAGAAAAGAAATTGTCATTGTTTTAATATGGATTCAAAATTTTAGTTACTCTTCCCTAAATAGTTAGTTAATGGGGAAAGATGATCCGAACTTGCATCTCTACTAACATCATTTGTAGAACATTAAACTAGAACTAATTGATACGCACGTTGAATATTACATGTAGAATCAAGAAATTAAGACTGTAACGTATGAGCATTGGACAATAAAGAATCTCAATTATGAGTTATACAAATATTTTGTCAAAAGATAAGAAATTTAATCAAGGATATACTAAGATCAACATATATGATTGGTGATATTTTCTTATCTATTCGAAGATAATTCAAAGAATAAAATTGAATGGACAAACAAGTGCATCTAACTTTTAGATGTTAAAAAAACCCCGTACAAATTGAAGAAAATTTACACTTATTATCTATTTACACCGCTATTTGTATCATCTTTGTAATAGAAGTAGGGTCCACTATGTATGTCTCATCTCTATTAGAGAGACGATACAAATGATGGTACAAATAAAATGTAAGAATAACATTTTTTATTGTAATTACATATGCATGTTATAGGTACTCTCCCTAGGCTTCATTTTCTTATTTGTACACATGTATATATGAACTCTCTCTATCTCTTCTTCACCATAATACATTTCATGGAACAAAAGCCTTCATCTTCTTAATCCACGAAATGAAGGACTTTTTGGAATTCCTGAACCCCAAAAAGCCATGCTCTTTGCTCTTATTCGTACTGTCCAACACAGCCTCCCCACCAAACACTAAGTCAGCAAACCACCACACCGCCACCTCCTCCAACTTGGTCGGCTGCAGCTCATTCTCCCTCACAATCTCCTCCCACACACCAACTTTCCCCTCCATCATCTCCACCAACCTCAGCCTACCACCCTCCTCCTCATCAAACCCATACTCCTCAATCCCAAACTGCTCAGCCAACACCTTCCAAAAATGCTTCCACTTAAACACATCCCCATTGTTCACATTAAACGCTTCGTTTTTCGCATACGGATCCACCGCCGCCCATATATGCTGCTCCGCTATCAAATTTGCATCCGAAGCCACCGCATAACACTCCCAAGCCGCTTTGCTACCGGGAAACTTCAATGGTCTTCCTTCCTTCTTACATATAGCAGCATAAACACAAAGCGCACCGATTATGTTCATCAAGCTATAAGGGGAAAACCCAAAAATATTATTAGGCCGATGTACCGACCAAGTTAAACCCTTTTTTTTCTCAACCTCTTCGAATAAAATGTCTTCAAGAGTGTAGTAAAAATTGGGCACGTCAAGCCTGGGCAAGTCCTCCGTAAACGGCGGGTCGTGGGCTTTGATTTTCCCTATAGACTCAAACGGTCCGATATAGTGTTTGGCCCCGGTCTGCAAGGACACGTGGCAGAGGTTCGGAGCCACGGGGATAATTGCACGCAAGACGTTGCGGAGCATGGCCCCGTTGGCCTGGCAGTTCTCGACCTCGGTGGCTTTACTGGTCCATGTCACGTAAAATATGTGCGTGACATCGGTTAATTGTGACAGCTTGATTTTGGTGTCTTCCGCATCAGACACGTCACATTGGATGTAGTCAACAGGATGATCAACGTTCCAGTTTGGGCGGGGGCGGCGTGCGACCCCGTACACTTTCCACGGACCGCCGGGGGTATCAGGGAGTGGGAGGATTTCAGATAGGCTGTTGCCCACTATGCCCGTCACGCCGACCACTAGCGCCACGCTTTGATGACCTCGTGATGATGACGCGTCAACTCCTTCCAATTTTTTCTGAAAAATCCATGTCAAGTTAATGTTTATTTGAACATAAACGCTTTTGAACAACAGTAATGCTTCTTATATTCAGAAATTAGTCCCAAACAAATCTAAATTAACTATTAAGAAGGTAGCTGGTTGATATTGTTACCGTGGCAGCGCTAGCAACTCCGGCCCACCACAAGCTCATTTTGATTTGGCTTCAAATTACAAACAGAAGAGATGGAGAAGCGAACAATCGATGTTGATGAGACGATTGAATATTCGACAGCGTTGTGCCTTTCATTGGTGATATTTCTCTCTTTTTATAGATGACAAAGGGATCCATCTTTCCCCACATATGACGCAAACTCTTAGCTAGCTATGAGACTATGACCAATATATGGATATTTATCATTCATGGGAGTCGGTTGCATGAAATTTCTAATTGACTAGTAATAGTGTATAGATCATCATGTACTTGCACATGGAAATTCTAGAGGCTTCAGGGGCCTCGTTAATAAACGAGCCTAACCTTGGTGTTTTACTTCATTTTGTCTGGCCCTGATTTCGTTGTGGACGTTCCCATCAACTCTTCGGGGATTGATATATGTAGATCTAGCTGATGGATCGAAGATCTAATCGAAACGCGCAAATTAGGCTAATAGAATAAAGCTTTGTAGATTTACTATTAACTATACAACCATAACAAACGGCATTGATCCAATAATCTCCTTCATGACTCCCTTTAATCCAATAATCTCACGAAAACTGTCAGCATGCTTGGAAGAGATTAATCACAATATAACAAGCCATATTAGAATTGTAATATCATAGTTCCTCTATATGGCTGTCAATATTATAAAGCATGCTGGAAATAATTGCTTCAAAAAACCCATAAATGACACACATCTTCTCCCTTGTTGAAGCTAACATCATTAGCTACCTCGAGGACCTAGTTTATTTTTTGTCAGTAATGCAAATCCACTGGACCATTAGTATCAGAAACTTTGCATTCGCCTTACAAACACCAAACTGAAAAATCAAAAGAACCGACAATTCTTTTCATTTTCTTTCGAAAATAATACTTCCTGTGGATGCCACATGTTAGAATTGTACAATTAATTTTCTTCTCTTTTGACACACGTATATTGATAAATATCAACGAATCAAAGCGCATTGTCCAATTTCTACAGCTGAGAGAAATGAATGCTGCAAAACTAAAAGGGGATTAAAACCAAATTAACATCGATAATTCCCACATCATCATGGCATATCAGAATAATTTTCACAGTACATACTCATAATTTCATGTCTCATGCATGTACACATATATCATCACTATGTGTTTATTGAAAACAACTGTTTTAAGGCCATCTTGAACCAAATGGTCCAGAAGCGCAGAGGGCCGAAAATAGCCCGAAAACCATCTCCAACTGAGGGATAGGCCAGAGGGCTCGTGGGCCCCACACAATCTAAAAGGGCCAAAGGGCTGGCCCAATCCAGCCAGCAAGCCCCGAGCTGGCCAGAAATGTGACCATTCCTGTCGGATATAACCGACAGAAATATAGGCCAAATTGTCAAATGCAACGACTAGCTGACGTCAGCTAGCAGTTATTTTTTAATATTTTTTTACAGTTTTATTTATTTATTTTTATTTACAAATTTTTTTTAACTTCTATTTTTTTTTCTATAACTTCCTATAGCTTCTATTTTACAAAATTTGTTTCATATTTTTTTAAGGGGTGTTTAGATTTAAATGCCTCATTGTTCTATTTGTTAGATTAAACATCTATACCTTCTAGAATTTTTATTAAACATTTTCCTACATTTTAGGTGCCAAATATATTATAAGTAGCATTTTTTTAATGCAAAATTACACAATTTGCCATATATATAATGTACCAATTAGCTAATAGTTATCCAAATCTCCTAGAATCTAGTAGAGACGTATGTTTTAAAAATCTAAAAACATATCAAATTTGACTTATTTATGCTTCTAACATGATATATATTTATGTTCTTTCACGATCATTTTACAATTTTTTCGTGCCATTTCTTTTCTGTAAGTTGATACTCTTCCATCCTCCTTTGTGAGTCATGTTTATTCCCTTTCTATTTTCATTTGATGCAAACCTCTTGATTTGAGTATTCGTACCGCGGTACATTTGGAAAATAGATTTTTCTAGTGGTAGATGATATGGGGTATGTTTCCATTTAGTATTGGTACATTTCTAGCCGATATGTTGGTACATTTTAAGTTGGCATGGGTTCATTTCATATCAGCATTGGTACATTTCAATTTGGCATTGGTACATTTCTAAACGATATGTTGGTACGTTTCAAGTTGGCATGGGTATATATCCTATCAGCATTGGTACACTTCAATTTGGCATCGATAACTCCGAAGTTAAGCGAGTTCGTGCAAGAGCAATCTCGGGATGGGTGATCCACTAGGAAGTTCTCATGTGAGTTCCCAGAAACAAAACCGTGAGAGCGTGGTCGGGGCCCAAAGCGGACAATATCGTGCTACGGTGGAGTCGAGCCAGGGATGTGGTGGGGGCCCAGGCTGGGATGTAATAATTTGGTATCAGAGCCAATCCTGGTCAGAAGAGTTATACTTCATACACATTTGTGTCTTTGCATAAGATCATCTCAAGCCAATTTGTAGAGAGAAACTTAGTGAATTGTATAATAGAAATTCATGATAACCAAATTATATCATAACAGTACCTTGATTGGAGTCAATAATTCAGATAAATTGCAAAACCTGAAATTTATCATTGCTCATCCTGATCGAAATGAAGTATATTAACATATACAACATTAAACATGTCACTATGCAGGTATATCTTAATCATATAATCAGTTTAAGCTTTCAGGAATCAAACCAAAATACAATACCATAAACCATCATAAAAATTGAAGTCAATGAAATAAAAACATTGTGCTTTGGCACTTGGCAGATGACTACGTTCACACTGAACGAAAACATGGTGATATGGATAGGAATTTAATCAACATAAATCCAATAAAATAGCAGAGATTATAATAGGTTAAAACCATGCTTTGTGGTTTTCCCAAGAAAAAAAAAATACAAACAAACCATACTTTGTGATTCATGACCGTTGTGCCGCAAGAGAAAAAGGAACGTGGAGGTCTTGTTATTCGTATATGATGGTGTTGCTCATGTTAATTGATGGCCGTGGGTTGAAAAGATTGCATAAAAATTTAAGATAGGTGTATTGTATTTTCCTACACCTTGCTTTAAATTTTTGTTTTTAAGGCTCATTTCATCAAATTTTCGACAATTTTAATCAAACTTCAATCTTAATAGGTTTTAATCACATAATCAGTGGTTCTGATACTAGTGATTACAACTTAGCATGGTTATATAATTAAAACACAAAGAAATAATCGGTTGACTTGATTACAGCGATAGCCATGGAAGTTGAACAAGAATGACCTTGACTGGTGTAGCTATGGTTGATAGTTAATCACAAACAAGAACTCTTACACTCACTTAAAGACCTTTATATTCTGATGGTGATAGACCCTAAATGCATAACCCTTTCTCTGTGAACAAGGAATTCATTTATATGGATGCAATGGTAGCCAACTTCCATCTATCGTTGAGGGTTGGTTGTTCACCCGTTGCACCAAATCCCAATCATGTATGGAGTGGCTTTAGAAGCACGTTGGATGTATTTCCTCAATTATAGGATGTTGGTTTTACATGTATTCAAACTCTAATGCTTTGCATTACCAACGTATTGTTGGAAATTTGAGTAGTTTGAGTAGAAATTTCTTTGTCCCACATTGGCCATTCCCAAAAGATTTTATCACTTTATAAGGCTTTGTCCTTTATAGAAAGTGATTGGAGTAATAGGTCTGGAGACTAAAATTGGGCTCATCCTTGGGGTTGGGCTTTGGGGTGTACTAATTAATTAGTTATATATTAATATATATTTAATTGTCAAAAGATGGGCCTTGGGATGAAGTAATTATTTTCGGAATCAATTAATTATTTTTAATTTTGAATTTAAATTAATTAATTATTTTACCAACAGACTCATCTTTTTAGATGAAGTTTGAATTGTGAAAATGTAGAAACAAAAACACCATTTTCAGCGGATGTCTCACAACAGATGCATCCCTTCCTTATACCTGTTGCGAACATGTATAATCACATTATATATACATCTATCTGCATGACATTTAAAACACAAAAAATCATAAATCTTCTCCTGCAATCATAAACATCCTTTCTAAGAGAACCACATTAATATTCGCCAGAAGTCAATTTTTCGGTGTTGGAATTTCTTACTTAGATCGTTGAATCCTGGTGAAGCAGACGTCCGTAGAACTACAAGCACTGAGTAGGGGCGAAATTTCTGTTTCAAGGACATTGTGGTACACAAGCCTCGATCTTTTATTACTTTGCTTAATTAATATTTCATCTTGTTGAGTCTCTGGAATATATTTATTCGTATTTATTATTAGTATATTTATTTTATTACGGATTGTTAACATATATCCAACATATATTACTTCTCCTTTATCACAAGTAGTTGAGTCCACATAGGACTCTTTGCCATTATAATAATGATAGGACTATTGTAAATTAGGATGAACTTGATGGGTAAACCCATATTTATAAACCTTGTAGACAAAATTTTGGAAACTAAAAAACATGAAAGTTGATGATTGGTTTATTACTGAAGTATTGATAAACATACTTAATTTTATTTGTAACACATCATTTAGTTTCCAAATTTCATCTCCATAACAATATCATATGAATAAAGAATACACCATGTTGATGCACAAAATCAGCGAAGACTTTGGTACAACAGAAAGTGTCAGGTTTTGTGACCTTCGCTTGGTTGCTTCGGTCACTAGTGAGGATAAGTACGTAAATGAATAGAGACAGAGAAGCAAACACAGGATGTACGTGGTTCACCCAGATTGGCTACGTCCACGGAGTAGAGGAGTTCTTATTAGTAGTGAAGGGCTTACACAAGTACAAAGGATCAAGCTCTCAATTTAGTGAGTTCTTGTGAATGATTTAACACAAAATGGCATTAGGCAATATTGTGGGGGAATGACCCCTATTTATAGAAAAACTTGTAGCTTTGTCACATTGACATGTGTCATGTTATGATTGGTTCTTGATGTCGACACGTGCTGCGCTCTGATTGGCTTCTAATCTTGACACGTGTCGAGTAGTGATTGGCCTCCTGGTCGGAGGGGAACTCTTCTGGGTCCTTGACAGTATAGTGTTGGCCGGTGCTCGGTAGTTTCGGGATTGGTCAAGTATGGTACAAACAGTGCTCCCCTAAGTTC